TATATATATATATATATATATATACATATATATATATATATATATTTCAATCTGAAAAACTCACATAGAGAGAAAAGATAATTAGAAGAATTTATTGATAAGAAGGTATAGTCTTTGGCGCTCAGGCCTCGGCAGGTACATTCATGCTGAATCATGCTTTAACATGCATAAGTAGATGAATGAGAATAGGGATGTTCCCCCTGGCCTGAAACTGGTGGTGGTTTAGTTCGAGCTGTATAACGAGGTGATCTACTTGAGCTGAATTGTGGGACCAGAGACTGAGGGAGCTGACACCGGGGCATCACTCAGAGACACAGGATGTAGAGGTCCTGCTTGGTGATGCAGGTACCATGAACGTCCATGATGAGCAAGCATGAAGCAACAGTGGAGAAAAAAAAACTCCCCTTTGGGAAGAAACCTCTGGCAGAACCGGGCTCAACATGGTGGTCTTCTGCCGGACCAATTGCAATGAGACGAGGGATGGTGACGACTGGGATTAATACTCTCTGATGAGGTTGGGGTAGAAGTCATGTCATGGAAGACGACTCAACTATGATGGCGGAGGAGGGGATGGAGGTGGGGGAATTGTCGTCTGAATAAAATCTGACATTGCGTTTGCTGGATAGCGGGCTGAGACGGGGATTTGAAGGTGCTTATAAAGTGAAGCAGGATGCTGATTGGGCTTCGTGGTGGAGTAGTTCGAAGCTGATTGGCTCGCGTCAGAGACGGATCAGCTTCTGATTGGATGGAGGTAAGCCAGAGTTTCTTCAATTGAACTTCCGATAGAGCTTCATATATATATATATATATATATATATATATATATATATATACAAGCACACACTGAAAAAAGCAGCACACCCATCTGCATTTCTTATTTACATGGAGTAGCTCAAAGAACCAATTGAAAAATCTATAACATTTTTACTTTTAATAACTCTAAGAACTGGGAATTCAACAATTTGCTGTCTTACTGGTGGGTTTCTAAAATATTTTGACAGTTTTTACAAGAAAAAAAAACATTATTTTTTTGTATGTTTCTGCCGTTTGTTAGTTGTTTTTTATGAGTTTTTGTGTAATAAAGTAAGTGCAATTATATTCTTTGTCCGTTTATTGTTTTTTGGTGTAGATTTTAAGAAAAGGCCAGAATTTGAAAAAATGTTAGAATGACTAAGTAATCTAGTTCCCATTGTCTGTATATGTCTTATCTAGAGTATATTACTGAAGAAGTATATTTTTTCAGACATAGAATGTCAGGTAGTGGGTGGACCTGACTACATTAGAAATGTCTAACTATTAACCTGCTTATAGTCTCTTCATGATAGCAATCTTTTTGTAGGTGAATTGAGGGCAGCAGTTTTACTTCATATATAGATCAAAGGATTAAAATGTAGGTCAGACCTGGCTTGGACCTGAAGATTTTAGGTGTGTGGGTCTTACCACTATGATTGAACATCCGGAGCCGGTCAAAACTAAACTCAATAGTCTCTATGCACTATAATAGCCTCTTTTCTCTGTAGTCCATAGAGTTACAGAAATCTACTCTTTTTACATGATCAAAAAGCACAATGATAAGATATTAACACAAATTCCAAATTATGCAAACAGATATTTGTCAAATAACAGTATTAACAGAGTAATCTCAGTGCTCTCTGAACTGGTTTAGTTCTTTTGCACACTTTCTTTAACCCTTTTTTTGTGCTCCCACCCTTTTTTCTAACAATCCTCACAGCTTTCCTTTAACTTATGCCATCTTTGCTCACTCTTACTCTTCTCCCACCTACACCACACTTGCAGTTTTTCTCAATCCCCCACCACCACCCGCCTCCCTCTCTCAATCTCTCTCCCTCTCTCTCTCCCCCACCATCTCTATACTCTGACTGTGTTGTTTGCCTCAGCTGTTCTCAGTTGCACTGGGTGCCTTGTGGTGTTGTGACAGAGCTGAGCTGCAGTGAGTGAGACAAAACTTGTTTAAAGGAGCGCTAAGTAGGGTGGGAGACAAAAAGAAGCGCAACCACCAAGGATTTACCAGGCAGATGGGATGAACAGCTGAAACAATTTGGACCAGTTTTACTTTTCCTGGCTAAAGGTGCGACTGAGTAATATCATAAATGTTTTTTTTTAAGCTGTATTCTTCTAAGAGCCAAAAAGGAAAGATATTTTAAATATATTAAGATCTTTATTTTTTAAATCACATTAACTGTGTAATCAACTCTAATGGACATTTTTTTGTGTGTGTAATACAGTTTACTTTTAGAATTCTTGAAAGGATTGTTCCAGAGATAATGGTCCATTACCCAAACTCTGCTTTGCAGGATCCCTCATCCCTCTTGTTTTTAGCAGGACTGCAATTTTGGCTTTGACCTGTGGAAAAGGAAGAAATTTTTTTTTTCTTTGCTCTGACAGGACGCAAGACCTGTTATGAGGCAACCTGGACTGACTCACCAGCATTTTTTCATGATTACTGGACAACAGGACTGTTTCTTGCAACGCTACCATTTCCTGTCAAACCAGATCTAAGACTGTCTGACCAGGGGTTGTTTATTTAAAGGACTTATCAGGAGTTCTTGCCCAAGGAGCATGGGGATTCTTCGGGGTACTGTTATACTTCTGTGTTGGTTTGCTGTGTTCAAAACGGAGGCCAACAGCCCCCCGCAAGCAAAGAATAATGTGCCCCGGCTAAAACTCTCCTATAAAGGTAGGTTTTAACTTTCCTTTTTCTGTTTCAGTTCTATCTATTTTCTAAAAACCTATTAACATAATCAAACTTTAAAATCAACCTTAATCAAATGTCATATCTATATACTTTTATCTACATGGTGTGTGTCAAGCATTGATGGAGTGAAATTGCTTTACTAGTCTGGAAAGTAAAAAAAAAAACAAAAAAACCTGATTTGTGTTTGAAGAATTGATGTTTGTATTTTTTTATCAATGATTTCAGCCATTTACAAGTATGTTAAATTAGTTTGTATAACTGAATGTTATTGACAATATTTAAGCTAGAGTTACAATGATAAGCTTGTTGCAGTTTTTAAAATATTTATGTAATGACATAGCAATTAACAGGAAGTAATATCACATATTGATAATTAATTATTTACATCTCTCATCCCAAGAAGAGGTCTGTTTTTGTGGCTGATTGAAATCCCTAAACATGCCAGACGTGCCTGGCTAATGTGTCTCTAAGCTGCTAAACAGTTCATTATTGAAGAGAAGCAATGCCTCCTTCCTGTGGATTCGTCCCTGTTTTGATCAACTGCTGCTGTCTGTGTTTCAATGAAAAAAAAAAGGCAGATATGGATTCCCAGTGGGGGAAGCATCATTTTATCCTTCTCTCTCATTTTTGTTTTATTCTATTTCCCTGAATGTCATCTTTTTCTACTCCATTCGTTCCTGCATAGTAATTACTCTCAGATGAATGGTGAGCGGTCTGCTTCAGCAGATGGCTGTACCAGAGTGAAATGTTTCTCGTTTAGTGCTGGGGGATCCATAATTATAGACACAAGTGTGCCCGTACACAGACACGCTTCCATGCATTAATACGTTGCCATCTGCAGATTGCAAATAATACCTGCAAGGGAATCAGTCACTTGAAACCACATGCTGTCAGTTTAGTGAAACACGCCCCTACACTGAAATCTCTATTGGAAGCCCTTCAGGTAATAATTTGGCTGGCTTGCTTTTTCCGGCCATAGTCAGAAACTTTTTGATATTAAGTCTTTTGAATCTAAGATGTGGGAAACAACACTTGGTGCAGTCATTAGGTAGCACCAAGTGTTTAAAAAAAGTATTTCCTGCCTTATAATGGACTCCTGTTTTATTCTTTTTTTAATCATATTTTAACTTTTAAAGACATCAAACAAATTATAACATTGGAGGAAATTAATATTGTATTTTAAAATACTTTTATCTATTAACAGAAAAAAGCTATCTGAACTAACCTGGGCCTACGTGAAGAAGTAATTACCCCTGTTGCATAACTGCAGAGATATTTAGCTCCACTCCTTTTAGCTGAAATCTCTTTATTCTGGTAAAGTGCTCCAGAAGGGTTTTTTTCATTGCCTCCAGAGGTTAACTTACTGATTTTGCAAAACTATCAGCTTGACCATGTTCTTAAGGGATTCTAGGCAAAGATGAGTTATAGCATATCATCCAAGAACAGAACTAAAGGCGCCTATGACACCATTACACTTTAACCACATATGGATGGGGACATTAAATTATTTTACTGACATACCATATTCAATGGGATGTGCACCCTCAATGACGCACAAGTCATCTGTTTCCCAAAAATCGTACATGTCTAATGAGTTAATTGTACACGGGTACAGTATAAATGTACTTTTAAGTCAGCAGGTTTTAATTTGTGCCTAGCCTCTTTTTGTTTTTAGTATTGAAACAAACATCAACCATAACTGAGGCAAATGAGAAGTGCAGTGCTCTAGATTTTGGTCTGGGTTATTGTCTTACCTCCTCTATGAATCATCAGTGCACTCTTTGAATAATATGCCTGTGCAATCCTCTGCTCAACGGTTCAAACATGTTATGTTTTTTTTTCATCTATATTTGTGTAAAATAGCTTTTAATTTGGTTTGCTAGATTCCCCTGAGCCGGATAAAGATTTTCTAAATAATTGAATGTTTTTTAATAGCTATTCAGTTCCTTTAAAATTGGGTATGTATTTCTTTTTGAGATATTTAAATGATTTTCATGTTCACTCTTGATACAGTATGGTTTTTGATGTAAATTAAACAAACTGTGCAAGATTTTTGCCAATTCTTTAAAAGACACACCCTCTAAATGCACATGCACAATCCTGTACCCACTTCCGAGAGGGAACGCCTATTAAACGTGTGCTAGAGCATGCACAAGCACATTTCACTTTGTGCATGCGCTGTTAAAAGTTGTTCTCATAGCTCATACAAGCTTACTGTGTCCAAACATCTGCCCTAACCCCTAAATGGTGGGACTAAATGGGACTATATAGTGCACTTTAAACTGAATTCAGTTCACTTACCGTTCCAACAGATGATCCCTGCTATTTGCTTGCTGTTGGTCACTTATCTCCTTCTCCACTGTGTGGTGCCTGCACCATCTTTGTTATTAGTCACCGCTGTTGGCTAGCTACAATGAGCCACTGTGACAGCAAATCCCATAGTGCTTTGCGAGGAGAGTTCTCCGCGCAAAGCATTCCTGGGATGCTGATGAAGGTTCTCAGTCATCCAGAATTGAGAAAGCTTCCTGGAGAGGTGGCGAAACGTCTTCAAATCTTGAAAACCAAGTCCAGTGGATATTTTTTGAATTTTTACGGCATTCCTGGGATATATTTGCCTCTTCTCAGGCCTTTCTTTTTTTCTCATACACTTTGTGTACACATTTTCCCTTACACTAACAGGAGGAGCACCGTGGACGGCCTTACGTAAACATATCACCAGAATGATTGGCAATTAGGAGGACCAGATATTTTGATAATCCACCCAGAAATAAAAGATCGTCCTCTACACCTTTGAGGTTAGATAGAATAGTTGTTGTTTTTTTAAGGAACATTTTATTTGCTTAGGCTATACTGTAATAATGTGTGCAATCTGGTTTTAGTGATCTTTAACATGTCACAATTCTCTTCTGATCTGGTGATCACATTAAATTCAAAAAGGTCATTTGGTCTTAAGTTGTTTTTTCAACGCAATTTTTTTTTTTTTTTTATTTTGTTTACGTGGAGAGAGAAAAACGAAACAAATATTTCACTTAGTCAGCTTACAAAACAGTGCATACCTAAGCAAAGTGCCAGGATGTCCAGTCCGTAGGCAGCAACATCTGATCAGTCACACATGGGAAGGTGAGGTGAAGGAACTCTGACCCCTACAGGTCACAGGGAATACTGGAAATGTATTTGAAGTTAAAACTATGAGAACGTGTGTGTGGGGAAGTTGCACATCACTCAATTCTTGAGAGAGTTCACTTAAATGCACACAACATGGTAGTGAACCTTTATAGTATAAATTCATGTGAGACTAAACCTCCAACCCCCACAAACCGGAAATCTGCATACACTCTGAGACAAAGATACTACCCCCTACAGCAAAACAAGGCACACAAGCACATAGTTGAACCTTTAGATTCCTACTGATCTTTGGAGGTAAGGGGCAGAAGGCCAAAGAAAAAGGAGGGAAAATAGTGGTACCCCATGGCTACAAAAATATGAAATCCAACTGTATCAACAGTTGGTGTCTGGGTGATGATGAGGATGTAACCAAGGAGCTGTGGAGTAAAATTACACTGCCAAATCAAAACTGTTTTAATGTTTACATGTCAGACTAAGGCACAAATTGACTTTTGAGATGCACTTACACCCTCCAGGTGAATCGTTCCTTTGGTGAGAAGTGAAAAGGGATTTCTAGTTTACCAGTTTACGGGTCACAAGAAGCAAAGCATATGTTATTAGCTGTCAAGGGTGACTCTGTAGGCTGTGGTGTTTTGCTTAAATTGCTATTGTTTTATTCCTATTTTTTGCCTCTCTAACCTAGCAAGGTCCTGAGCTTGCACACCAAAGTGCGTAGTCTTGCTTTCTAATACCAGAGGGCAAAAAAAGTAACAAATTGAAAATGGAAACCACATTCCTCCAGTAAGAGATTTTATTTTCTTTGTTTTCCCTGCAGTGTAAAATAACGCTGCCCAAAACTAAGGCATGTAGACGTTTTCCAAAAAGCACACTGAAACTATCAAAGTGTAGTCGTGTAAGGCATGTACAGTTTTCTGAGAGATAGAACTACATTCTGTGTAAAATTTGCACCTGACTGTCATGTTCTGTCAATTTTGCCCTAATAACATGATGCACGGCAAACCATTTATTTCAAAGTATTCGGGTTTAGCTCTGGAGGCTTTCAGATATTAAGAAAAAGCTTTCAACACATTAATGCCGACACAATCATGATTCCTCAAGAACATTAGCTGGCAAGTAAATTGCCTGAATTTAAGGAAAGTTACAGTAGTTACAGTATACTGACCACATACTTGACAACACTTGACACAATATCCACATTCAGTAGAACTCACCCACTAATGCATACTCATTTATACACAGATCAGTGGGAAACTTGGAGTTAACTGCCTACTGTAGCTTAAGGGCAAATCGACATGGGACAGGGGGCAACCTGGAATGCATCCCATAACCTCCAACAACCCACTGAGCCAGCGTGGCCTCCATTTGTGTGTATTATGTAAGACATGCACATTTCATAGCATGCAAATGGGGAAAAAATAGCAGCACTTAACTAATAAAAATCTTTATTGTCAGTGTTACATAAACACAAAAGAAAAGATTGTTTTTCACAAAGACAAGGTGCAGGACTCAGCCTATATAAGGTACCGGTAATATAATATAATGGTTACTGACTGAAAGTAAAACAATCATACATTATTATTGTAATATTCTAAATAAATTATGTTGAAGTTTAAAAATTGGTCCTTAAATCTTAGAAGAAACATTTATTTGAGGAGGTTTTGAATGAATAACAATAGGCCGACCAATTTTTTGTGTGGTTTGTGTTTTGACAAAAAACCATAGCAGTGTTGAATTACTATTGAATGTTTCTGTGGGAACACTGGGCAACAATTTTAACTATTGTGCCATCAGACAAAAGCAGTTTGGAGTGTTACAGAGTAGATGTTTTGTTTGCTTTCCTACTTCATGGAGACAAA